ATGAATGTGAAACTGTAACAATCTCCAAACAGCTTCGTAAGGGCATAAATATCTACAATTTAGATAAGCCACAACCTCATCAAACTTTTCATCTTCAAAAACAACTCTAGCCCGATCAACACCTTTAGTTATGTACTTAAAAAGATACTTGATGAGTGTTGATTGGCAGCATGATTCAACATTGATATGCACTTGATAATTCAATAATAGCTCACGATTATAAGGGACAACAAATGCGTTATCAAGCTTGATTCCATTTTTTAGAACAAACAAATTTTCTTTATCCCGACGCTTATATGCAACGAAACCATCATCAGAAAAAGTGGTTTCACTTGTGAAAGGTTTTGGAAATTTTTGAACATTTGTTTTCTTTCATGCATGGTGAAAATCGATTTGCAAGACCACATGGCCCATGGATCATGTATTGTGAAACTGCATCGTACCCAACTTTGTCAACATCTGCATCAGGAATCTCAGCTGAAATGATAGAATCAACATCGTAGGGAGAATGACATTTATAATGTTTGTTCACCCAGACCAAGATATGACAATGAGGAAGACCCCGTTTTTGGAACTCCACTGTGTAAATCACTGTTTTTAAATAAAGAATGCAAAGACATCAAAATAAAACACTTTAGATATGTAATGATTAGATAGATAAACAAAGAAAGGGAAAATTTTGGCGAAGAGCGATTAACTAACCTGATTCAACATCGCCAAAAGGTTTCCCTGATTTGATGAATTTAATCATATGGTTAAGCTTTGCTTTAAAAATTCGGGAGACTATATCAGGCCTGTCTTCAGGCCTACAACCAGGTTTATCACGTAGATCTTCAATAATTTCAGGCCATTTAGCATTGCAGGTGAAAGTGATAAATAAATCAGGATTTCCAAAGTGACGGCATATGGCCATCGCATCCTGATAATTATTTATCATATATCTAACGCTGCCAGTAAACGAAGTTGGCAAAATGACTCTCTTGCCAACACCAGAACTGCTTGTATTTCCTGCTTTGAGTGCTTCATGAATTGCTTTAAGATTTTCTGTTCTAAAAGAATCTTGATTTGCCCTAATAAATCTAACCTATCTTCTTCAAGCGTGGCATATGCATCAACTAAATATTGTTGAAACAGTCTACCACCTTTCAATAGGGTGTCATTTTGTCCTGGTCTATCCTGAATTTGATAACCTAGAAACGCTCTCAGTGATACTCCCCCAGTTTTTGGTTTTTTCCCTTTATAATCTGGATTCCAAGGAAGGCCTTTCTTATACCCATCTTCACCGTAGGGGAAAAGAAGAGGGTATTGTAGTGCCATGTACTTAGGATGTAACTTTGTGATTCTTTGTAGGCCATGCGTCCTATGCTCCACAATGATATCTCTTTCAGTGTGGAATTCGCCGATATCCCCAACTATCAAGCCACCTATCTCGTCACACGCCGGCAAATTATATTGTGCATCATGGTTAGCCTGTGCACCGTATAAACGCAAACGTAAATGACTTGTGGACCCTTCATCAATCATATCTCTAGCGAGCCTAAAAAGCTTAACGACCTCATTACACTCGTCTAGCATTTTAATGAGGCCATCAACAACATGATGGTCAAGTTTTTCAACCGTTTCTGATCCACTAAAACAACCAATACGATTACTGACTTCATTTTGAGTATCATGAATGTATAGTTGTGCAAATTTAGGATTTTCGCCCTCGAGAGGCAATAAAGAACCCATCAAATGATGCACTTGACCATTAATTTTAAAAACATAAGGACCCCGACCCTTGTTGATCGATGCATCAACTTTGGCTCCCATTGATGTTAATGCCATCATTGAATTATACGATCTAATATTTGTTTTAAATTGCAAGCTGTTTCGAGAATTTTTGGGATTCAACAAATCATCCAAATAAGGAGGGGTGGGTTTAATGCGTGGGAATTTTACTTTTTGACTCATGCAACAGGTGGTGAACTGCAAGGTAGAAGATGAAGCATTCTTCGCAGACTGTTCTGTAGACCAAAACAGAGCACCGCAATATTGACATTGACAATTTCTTAAGCCAAAATCAACATATTCTGGATCAATCCCTATAAAAACAAAGATTAACAGAAGCATTCATCAAATCGACAACCTTAAGTTAACTGATGGAGGAAACTTAACTTTTGAAATTAGTAAGAATGAGAATAGAGTTATGTTGAAAGATTGCATACTTTTTCTTTTTTTTTGATAGTTGGCTTGTCCGGTTATTAGCGGGTTCAAGCCAGAATGATTGGTTTGAGCATGAATGGCTAACAAACTGTGCACATTGGCACGATCAGCAAGGAAAACCGGTACAGAAATCTGATGAGAACTTGTCCCAGGTTCGAAATGTGGGTTAAAAACACCACGGATGGGAATATTTTGTTTTAAAGCTGATGCAAATGTTTGGGGAGGGCTGTTTTGGTTGTTCAAAGATGTTGAAACATCATTATCTTGATCGTCGTAAGCGGTGGGAACATCTTGCAACTCTGAATTATTGAGATCACCATCCGCAACAACCGCATCCAAATAGGCACGTTGAATTTCAACGGCCCTTCTAGGTCGCCTTATTCGTTTAGACATAAAACTATACAAAGTGGAAAAAAACAGAAACAGTAGCGGTTCACTCTTTAATAAAAGCAACACATCAACGAAAGAAACCATCTAAACCAAATGAAATTAGCAGCGAGATATAACCCATTAAAGCAAGAGGTCATTGAAAACACAAACACATTCTAAACATAACAGTAAAAACACAATCATAATGAGATTAGATTAGAACAAAGAATAGAGAAACTTAATATGCGGCTGTCTTCTTGAACAGCGTTGTTTCCCGTTGAAATGGTAAAAGATATGAATAAAGCATGCAACGATTGCTAAAAAACATAGCGATAAAGAAGACCAACATAAAGATCAAACAACAAAGCAACCATAAGGTCTCAAAAGAGCAAACAGAAATGAAGAAGGTAATGTTCCTTAAAGGTGCAGAAAACTAACCGATATAGAGACGGGATTGTAGCTGGGCACAAATCCTAGTGAGCAGTAATGCAAGATTGTAACGATTAAAACAAAAGTTGTAGAACCTACAAAAAGGAAGAGAAAATATAAACGCATATATAATTGGAACGACGCATGTTTTAATACTTTAAAGAAATGACATGCATAAAAAGCCTTTAGGTTAGCAAAAGCTTTTAGGTTAGCAAAAAAAAAATGCATTGCTTGAAATAGAGATGATCAGGATTTAAAACGTTTAAATTTTGTCCTAGGTTGACTAATTAGATGCAAAAGTGAGACAGCATGAACAATTTAACACCGAGAAAGACCAACAATACTAAAGCACAATCGAGCTAACAATAAAAAAAGCATATAATGCAAAAGAATAACAACAGGGCAAAACACTTTTGGTTGATCTTACAACAGGCTAACAGGATAAGATAAATCACCAGATATTGCAACCATGACAAAGTCCGGAAGGCAAGATAATGGAATTTTGCTCTAGTTAAAAAAATATTAGCATGTGTTACAAGCAATGTAATGTTGTGATGTAGTTTCATTATTTTTCACAAAGCTCTCAATTTGGACTCTTATGAAATGTTGAGTTTGATACAAATTATTAATGATAGAAATACTCTAGCATGTTTTGAGTTTAAGCGCATGACTTAACGATGCCAGCTCATCTATAGATTGACCAATTGTAATTAGCTTCATGACGCAGTTTTTATATACGTACACGAATAAAAACCGACAAAGCATGTAAAATCAAATTGATAGTAAAAGAATTAGGTAAATCTATTCAACAACTACTAATCTAATTGTAAAAGTGAGATATGCGTTTTTCTAGGTTTAATAAAAGCACCAAAGTCAAAGGTTTTTATATGCGTTATGAGAAAAATTCATTACGGCACCAAAAATCGTTGCTCAAAGCAAAGGCAAAAAAAAGCAAGAGCCACACAACTGATGCTCTTCATCATCGTCGGGTAAAACTCTAGCTAAAGAACATGCCGCATCTACTTGGGAGATAGGCAAGGCAGGAGAAGATACCAGTCCAGCATACGAACAAATACCGGTAGAGAAGATACCGTATCTGTTTGGGGGAAAAGTGGAGAAGCCACCATTTCTGCCTGGGAGACAAGTAAAGCAAGTGAAAATGATACACCAGCCGTGGTGATTTTGAACAATATGCTCCAGGATCAAATGATTCAGGTGTTGAATCCTCGTAAATGTGGATATGAGATCCATAGGCATTTGAATAGAACACTAATGGGGCGGGTCGTGTGGAATTATGATGTGTTTGTAGTACTATTTACAAATACAATGACACTTATAGACCCTCCGGCTATTTTTGAGTTCGTGTTGGTTTGTGTCCGTAGTCTGTAACGTATGCATTTATAGTTTAATCCATATATTTTCACATGCTGCTATATGCTCTGTTTTTAAGAAAAAAATTAAATTTTAAGGATGGAGAAATGCAACATGAAAGCTACAATTAGATCTTGATCACAAAATGGCAAAAAAAAAATCCTAACCTAAACATTTGTATACTAAAACTCAATTTAAGCAGCCATTAACATCTGATTTAGTACTTCAGCGACTCACTAACCCGCCATACCGTCATGTCTCATCCCCTCTCCACCACTGACTAAACAAACTATAGGCGCAATTGGATAACAAATCCACTCAATTTTAGCAACCTCGCTACATACATTGGCTTTGTTCAGCATGAGACGATATAAGCAAAGGAAAAAGTCGATGACAAGAGCAGCCAGCTCACTATGAAAACTAAAACATCAAGATAGCAACGGCTTTAAAAGTGTAGAACCAGCAAAGAAGCATCAGCTAAAAGATCCTATCAACAACAACATAAATGGCATAAAAAATAAAAGGAGAGAAAACAAATCCCAGCACGATAAGGTTATTGCTAGGAAAAATCATTTATCAGTGAGATAGAAGTCTACCAAAAAGGTGCAAAAAAGAGTATGAACAACAGTTTATCCTTAAAAGAATATAAGGGTCAGCAAAATACATTTATCAGCAAGATAGAAGTTGACCAAAAAGGTGCAAAAAAGAGTATTAACAACAGTTTATCCTTAAAACGGTTAAAGGCTTATCTGTTTACATTATTGCCCTTATGACCGAACAAAAAAAGTTTACATTGCCCTTATCTTATCTAAAGACCCACCCCTTCTGTAGACATTTAAAACTCCAAAGGCCGTTGCGGCGGAGGCAAGCAAGAGCAACAAAACTCCAACCTTTTTCCAGCTAGCAAACCTGTGGATGCCATTGGAAAACCCCAAAAAGCGTTGTGAAAGTGTTTTATCCAGCGGAACTTTTTCTTTCGGCGGATTACTACGATTTGCAGGTGGATACATAGTATGGACCACCAATTTGTTTCGGTTTGCACCCCTACCATAAACACGCAAACCCATCCTTGTTTTTTCTATTTTCACTGATTTCTTTGTACCAGGTCCCGGGGCAGTGTCAGAAAATCTCACTAATGTCCCTCGATTTTGTTGATCGATTCGAGCCTTAACCAGTTGCCTTAAATTTTTGACAAAAACTCCTCCTAGAATCTGTTGTTCTCTTCGATTGATCTCTTGTACCATTTTATTTACCCTGAATCAAAATTTAAATATAGCGTCAAAATTTCTGTTTTTTTTTAAGCATCTTTAAGCTTGTGAGTTGAAGAATAACACCATGAAAAACTTAACAACTCATATTAATAAAGTAAAAATATAAGATTACCAAAAGTTACATATAAATTAAAAAAAAACACAGCCAAAAAGCATTTTGACAGTGTTTTAGATCAAATTTTGAAGTTGTAGCCGATAAAGAAAATACATAACTTAAGTATTAATGAGTTAATGATACTTGTAGTTTTAGTTAATATCCATGAATTTTTCTGAACATCTTAGTTGCATTCATGCATTGTTAAAAGGTTACTCATTTTCCTAAGTATAGAAGTTGTTAATTTTTTTTTTTTAAATGTCTAGTTCGTTGAGAGAGCGCAGTTGTGAACAGCACATGTTAAAGAACTTCGGGAGGATGAGATAGTTCATTATTAGAAAACCTAACGAAAACACCAACCAACCAATAACAGAATCACAGACTGAATTGTACAAACAAAATTTTAAAAAAAACAAACAAACCATCCAACCTCTGGACAATGAGAGGATTACAAAGACAACCAAGAATGAGAGCAAAGCAGACAGCAGACAAATAACATAAAGCGATCGAACCAAACAGTTAATTAAAAAAGAATCATAAAGATAAGAAGTCTGAAACGGAAAGAATGGGAAAAGACCATATTTAAGTTCAGGTGACATATGAAAGTCTTGATTCAAATGTGATTTAAATATAAGCAAAAGAATAGACGCATATCATTTGTATACACACACCACCATCTGCATAACCAACAACTTCAATGAATTTGCACAGAATTCCAAACTCTAACCCTAAACCACACCCACCTTCTAAAATCTCGAAATAATAGAATGAAAGTGGAAAATAAATTTCAAAAACTCTCATTTCCACATCACAATTAACCACTGCAACTATATATTTTGCAACCAGAAAAACGATAATAGTTTCTTATTTTATACGTGTATAAATCTCTTAGGAGAAATGGAGTTAAAATAATATAAATTAAATGAAAACTTGAACAAATATTTCAAACCAACGAAAGTTTTTTTTCACCTGTCAACACAGATTACATAGTAATGCATTAGCTAATTGTAACAATTGGGAAAAACCACTTGAACAACTCAAAAAATCAGTTTGGTCCAAAGCTATAACACAAATCCTAATTTGTTCTTTGCTGATGTTGCTAATTCTATGATCAAGATGGGGAATATTAGTCCTCTTACAGGTACAACCCAAAGTATGTGACGACTGGTGAGTGTGTGTGTGTATGTGTGTGTAGTGAAGCGTTCACTTGAGATGCTTAAGATAATATTCGAGCAAACTTTGGCCTCAAGGTTTTACTTACCTCAAACCTAGCCTTGATCTTCTCTTAATTCACTGTTTATTAACATGGCTAAAATCATTTTCATTTGCAAATGCAATATGATATTAAGTGTGCTGCTACGTCTACTCATATGTTCTATGTAGCATATGAATTCTACTCAATACCCTAACATTACAGCGAAAATTAATTGATATTATAAAGAAGTTAAGACTTTACCAAAGCAGCAAGGTAGCGGTTGCAAAATTCAGAGGCTAAAGCTTTCACTTTGTTTCGATTTGCAAAATACCAAAAAAGATATTTACAATTGAGGAAAGAAAACACATTTCACTAAAGAATGCACTTCAGCCATTATCAAATTGTCAACTGAGCGAAACGCATAAAACCATACACATATACACAGCCGAATTCTATTCTTTTCAGCAGTTCCAGGTAAAAAAACCAATCTCCCTACAGAAAATCAACGAAAACAAACGCTGGTCGTATGACTCTTAGGCCTAGTCAAATGATCCTATTCCATATCCAAATGGGTTTTCTTAAAAAAACCAATCTCTCAGTTATCCTTTTCTTTTCTTCTTTCAAAAAGTCAAATCAAGACCAAAGTTTCACAGATAATGTATACCCAGAAAAATAAAAAGCAAAATTAATGTATTTCAGAAATGGACATCGGGTGGATGTTGAACCTTTAAAATCTGTAAACCCAGCGAATCAAATGAGTAAAGAAAAAGAAATCGAAATCCTACTGTTCTGAATTCATTCTTCTGTTTGCTAATCTAAAGATGAAGGGAAAGGTATCATAATTTCACCATGCAAGATTTCGCTATGCCAGATTTCATTTGCAGGCACCAAAACACGCGCAAAATTAAAGTTGGGGTCTTCATACTCTATTGGGTATCTGAAGTCATGTGAAAGCTCGGAAATAACCAAACCAACATCCAATTTAGCACACACCTAAGAAAAACTTAAGCAAGAAAATATATCCAACTACTCAATCAATAATCAAACACGGTAATACAATCATTGAAAAATTTTCAATTATTTATCAAAATTGAATTAATAAAATTGAATGTTAGGGTCAAAATAAAAAAAAATTAATTTAATTATAGTTAACTAATCAAGGTTAAGATTAATGAAAAAGCTTGAAAGTCTCATATCTAAAATTACACCTTAGGCTGCAAGTAGAATCAAAACCATGGAAGATCAAAACCACTAACCTTAAACACAGAGGTCTTCGTAGGCTTCAAAGAAAAGTCACCAACTCGAAAAATCCAATCTCCTGAAATTGAAAACAAAATCATATTAACCATCATCACCCAGAATCCAAAGCTCAACAGCCTGAATCAACGTTCGAATCATATATGACATCTTGTTTCAATTTCCATACATGAGTTCATTACATGCACAAATGCAGCGTTTGGTGTGTGAGAAAAACAAAAGAAAACCCTTTTGAAAAGGTTTTCTTTCATTGAACAGAAAGATGAAAGTAACATTTCACCACGACTATGTTAATTGAATACAAAATTATTTTTGTGATTATTAATTTAGTATGGATAAGGATTAAGGGTTGCCAGTACATGCAAACTTTCAAGCATGACTTTGTTGTCGGAGAGGTTATGTCATGGAACCAAGTTTTAGTTTTATAGATTATGCCATGCAATCAAGTTTTACAAATACGTTAATCACACAAAAAAAATAAAAAAAATCTAACCTGTTCTCAACCTTGGGCCTAGTGCTATATCGTTTCAACATTCACAAAATATCGGTAAGGATCTGAGTCGGAACATAAGTGCTTACAAACTCTCTATTGGTAGTAAGTTTTTGCGACGCTAAGTTGAAGGCCTAACTCTTGTTCAGTGCTGCATCATTTAGATAATCGTAGACCTAGAGTAAAAATTATTAAAAAAAAGGAGAGGGATTTTCTCCCTGATTGTTGTGATAAGAATCACTCAAAGACAATAGGAACCACTCCAATTCATAATAGCATTTCACTGAGTTCAATACTGTAATGGAAAAACGCAAGAATATAGAAACATAAAGTGAGGAAGCACACTTCCTATATTTCATGAAACCTCGCACAAAGTTACAGTTTTCAATCTAAAATGTTCCCAGATAAAAGAATCCAACAACCTAGTTTAGAAAAGAGCAAAACTTTCCTAGTATTATCTCAAATTTCCTACCGAATTTATCAGGCATCGTCTCTAAATCAAAACTCTAAAATCTTGAATTTGCTCACCTTAAATACACAGTGCTTTGAAGGCTGCAAACAAAATGCCCAAATCTGAAGAACCACGATTTCCTAAAGCAAAAAACAAAACAAAACAAAATTAAACACGACAACAGATGAGCAAAACAATAACTAAAAGAGCCTTCTAACACCCTTATCACATAAATACAGCAGCAACAAAGTATGGAGAAACAATCTAGTAACAGAAATACATAAGCAACCAAGATTTGCAAAAACAATCTATCAACAGAGGAGCAAAACAACAACTAAAACAGCCTTCTAACACCCTTATCACAAAAATATAGAAGCAACAAAGTATGGAGAAACAACCTAGTAACAGAGAGATATTCAAAGGATGTAAAGCAGAAGGAACCTCAGTTTGATTTGTTGAGAAGGAAACAGGAGCAAAGCATGAAGAAACAGAGAAATGAGCACAGTGCAACTACCAAAGTTATAAAGACACAAACCTGACTCTAACAGTGCACGAAACAGTGCACTAACCAGATTGATCTTCCTAACACCCAACTAAACGGGCTATAAAATTCCTTTACAACTTAATCGAAACAATAAAATGTTAATCATAGTTTTAACAAAGCAAATGACAAACCAAACAATAAACAATGACTGAAAAACAGTGTTTGAGCTATTGAATCAGAGTACAAAACCTCTAAATATCCTTGCCACTCAATCAAATCATGCTTTCTGCCCTCTCTCTCTCACTCTCTATCCTTCTTTAAAAACATTGGACAAAATCCATAAATGTCTCCCACAACCCCAGAAACTGCATGCAACCATGCCTTCCCCATTAATTGTTGAAGAAATGGCATCCAGCTGGAACCAAAATCCCGAAAGGAACCCTACCCCTAGCCTTCCCAACTTGCCTCGCCGTCTCTCTCTGCACCCTTTGTTGTCGACCCTTCAAACCAAACTCTCAGGCACCCCTACCCTTGATTCGCTCATCCTACCCCTCTCTCTCTCTCCTCCCGTCTTTCCTCACATCCCGTTTGAAACGCACGACTCTTCCCTCTCTCCTCTTCTCTCACCCACGACTCTTCCATCTCTACTCTACTCCCTGCCATTCTGCAAGCTACACTGGACTCACGACATTCACCTCACCGCTTTCCTATCCCTACCGAAACCAACCAAATAAAACCAGCCATAGGCCAAACCAGCAAAAGGCCATCTGCCCAAACCCAAAAAAAAGCCCCCAGGCCGAACCCAAAACTTCCACAAAGCCCACTCATTAAACCAATGGTATGTATGTAATTAAACTGAAATTCAGGTGCATGAACAGTAAGGAACAGTGACAATTCCAATGCTTTCTTTAGACTAAAGTAATAATATGTTTATGTCTTCTACACTTCTGTGGAGTTTTGAATCTTGTGGGGGATGGTTGGCTATTTATTTTATTTTCTTAAAGATTCAAAATTTTATTAATTATTATTTAAATAATAAATATGAAGAGTCATATCAATTAGAGAAGCCATGTCTTTTACCAAAGGTTATATAGAGTTTTATAAATGGGGAACTCCTCAAACGTAAATAAAAGATTCAAATGTCTTCCTTCTCTCCCTACTACAATACTCATATATAATCCTTATTATCTTCCTAATCATCTTGATCATCAATGGGCAATTGATCACTACTTGGCACCCCGTCTACTGTAATCGTGCTTATGGATTAGACATTTTGTGAGATTCAAGGATTGTACCTTGGAGTTGTAGATAGCCGTTATAACCGGCACGTAGGGAGGCATCTATGGCTTTAGGATAGTGACAACACACCTCTCTTGATATCACAGGCCAGATCATTCTTTACCTTTTCCTCTTTTACTGCTTTATTTATTGAAATATGTGTTTGATGCATTTGGGTTTTATCTAATTGATTGAATTTACATGTGCATTATGATCATAATCATTTATATAATCCTACATATTTTTGCAATTGAATGAGGATTGTGGTTATCTCATTTGTAATAAGCATGCTAAGTTGAATCAAACTTAATTGCAGTATGTAAAACACCAATAGGGTCAACAGTGGAAAAAGAACCTGCCAATTGAACTTCACTGGTGTGGCACACTGGCACGCCATCTCAGCTGCCATGTTAGTCTGTAACATTATATCCGGGAACAAGGATCACCATATTCTGACCCCCACATACAAGTATTTCTAGCTAATGCATCATGCACCATCTTTTTGTTCTATCATTAATTATTGGTTGAATGAGATGATGTCCTTAAATATAAGGAAGATTGGTTATTTTGTTCTGCATAACACATGGAATACGAAGTGTATTGTGATGCCATATTATCTTTTTACTCGTTGAATTGTGCTTGATTTCCTTGTTACCATGTGAATGCATATAGAGTTCCGTGTCATGATACTTATTTCAACTCCCTGCATTTTCAGAGCCAATTTATCATTTTGGCGTGTACAGTGGGTCAGTCTATTTTCAATTTTCTTGGTGTACGACTATGTCACCAGCAAATGGTACAATTGTTTCCTCTGTTTCTTTGATGTGGTTCATTTCGGCTCTGCTGGGAACTGGGACACATCTTGTGCAAAGAACATGAACTTTGAAAGGTTTACAGTTTGCTTGATGCAGTTTACCTGATCATTTGTTCTATGATATATCTCTAATTCTCTATATTTTCTATCAGCTTTTCGTTTTTTACTGTTAAAATACAGGAGGTATTATATTGGTTGAGATAAAAAGCTATGTTAGTTTAGCACTATTTCCATGCACTTTATGAATTTGCCATGTAAATTTTCTGGATTTTTGTTTTATCTTATTGAACTCTGAAACGTTGATATGGCTCTGAATTTACCATATATAACCAATGCTTGGCATGCACTTATTTCCTTATTAGTTTATGCTAAACTGCTTCCTCTTCTCATCGGCGTTTTCCCAAATATCAGGACAATACTCAACCAAACACCAGAATTCCCGCTCATAGTCGACAGCAGCCATATCTCCCTGTTCAAGATCCAAAAACTCCCCCCTTCAGATTGCTTGAAATTCAGGGCTAAGAAAATTATTCTTGAACCGCTCCTTGAAGAGATCCCAGGTCCAAACCTCATTAGCCTGAAGATTAAGATGTTCCGTCTTCCACCAATTCTTGGCACAGTCGACCATGAAGAAAGTCGCTGAGCTCACTCTCTGGTCCACCGAACATCTCATAACCTCAAGAACATCATCCATATGCTCCAGCCAAGACTCGGCTTCTTCTCCAGCACCCAGACCATCAAGAGAGTAGGTACCATGGCTCACGACAATTTCTGCCTGAGTGTGACCACGATTTGCATTAGGAATGAGCTGGGCCAATGCCACAATTAATTGTTGTAACCCCGGAATAGGAGTATGTTCACGCCTAGGTGTCAAAGTTCTATCAAGTAGACATTAAATAATTAGCACAATTACTGCCATCATACGATGCAAATGTATGTTTCCCCTAACCATGCTTTCATACCAAACGAACACACCCCAACCCCAATAACACAAGGTACGAGGTCGGGATGTGATGGCCAACACTAAATTGACTATATGACCACATTTGTAGTTGACGTCACAAGCCAACTTAATGACGAAGCCATAGTAAGATATTTATGATGTGTAATAATTTGAACCAAAATATGTTCATTGAAATAATAAATCCAAAGCTGCTACATAAGTAGTTATCATCCTCCCCACTTGGGGATACGTATTATCTCGGGTTTGACCCATTATTAATCACATCACATCTGAGCAGCTAGAAGTTTCACACAACAATAAATACATCAAAGTGCAGTGCTATGGCTTCCTCATTAATCTCATAACCTCAAGAATATCATCCTTATGCTCAAGCCAAGACTCGGCTTCTTCTCTGGCACCTAGACCATTAAGAGAATAGGCACCATGGCTCACGACAATTTCTGCCTGAGTGCAACCACGATTTACATTAGGAATGAGCTGGGCCAATGCCTAAGTCAATTGTTGTAACCCCGAAATAGGAGTATGTTCACGCCTAGGCCAGCATAGTTCTGTTAAGTAGACATTAAATAATTAGCACAATTACTAGCATCATGTGAGGT